GACATGCATGAAGAGAAACACACTTAACATATCGGGATCCTTGACCAAGATTTCCGCATTGAGAATCGCAGCTTCTCAATGATTCTGCCAGTCAACCACCCACGCCTCGCGTACTAGATCTCCCGATGGAATCACACCCGTACCATCATCTAGCTCGAAGAGGTCTTCGATCATAGGTTCCCATATTTCCTTTGCTGCAATCGTGAGGTGATATCTCCGTCACATCAAGCACGAGATGGTACTTACGAAAACCAGCTCCGTGCGAAAATAAGAGGATGAATGCAGGTTTTTTGCATGAAAGAGCTTCACTGGAAGCGCGTGTGTATCGTTTGATCGTCGAAAGAAGAGATACGCCCCGAGTTTGGGTGGAAATCGTAAACTTCTCCTGGTGGAGGTTCGCCATTATGGAGATGGGATTCCCATTTCGCCCATGAGCTCACTTCTTAAGTAATATACCACCCAGCAATCCCGAGGTCAATTTTTCTTAGCCTAATGTTTTTGGAGATACTGTATGCCTCGATGATGTTACGACATCTCATCTGCCGATGTCAGCCTGGCTATCGGCGGGCTGTCAAGGACAGCGGAAGTAAAAATCGTCAGTAAATATCCAGAATCCGCTCTCGAATATTCACCTGAATTGGAGAGAACAGCCTCTAACGGGTCCAATGTGAAGTCGGAAAATATAGGATTTCCATGAACAGTGTGAACAGTGCGCAAGTTCGATGCTGAGGTTGCAGCGAAACTCGTTTGTCGGCTTGGAGTTTACAACGTGCGAAGAAAACCTTGATTCGATTGCTATAGCATCATTTTTAATCAAGCTGACTGTCCAATGTAGACGTAATAGCGAATCTAAACTTAGTTTATATCAGTCCAACGTGGCGACGTTTGGCGGGCACGTGAGGACGACTCACTGGGATTCGTCTCAGGTTGGTCTCATCTCAGAGACAACCTCTTACGTTGACGGATCCCAGGTGAGTCTCTCTGGGGCCAATCTGCGACCTCTCTCGTCCGGCGTCTCCAACCCTATAGCATCATTTTTAATCAAGCTGACTGTCCAATGTAGACGTAATAATATCAGAATCAGCTAAGTACTGTGGAAGGGTTATATTTGCACAGCCACAATCTCAGATAAGATCAAATATTCTCACAGGACGCGTCACATCCATCGTACTACTTCAATAGTTCTTGTATCGTTATGCCCAGACCTATCCATTCTGTCATCCATCTTGATGAACTCGTGCGGAGAATATGTGATTATCTTACAGAACTTACAAATGACGATGTCGAAATTCCATTGCAACGAGACCTGGCTGCCCTAGCTCGCGTTTCCAAAGCTTTCCGCGACGTCTGTCTGGATTTTCTGTGGAGATCACTGCCATCCCCCGCTCCACTTGTCAAACTGTTGCCTGCGATACAAGAATTGGATGGAGAGCTTGTAAGCCTTGATTAAACCTCGGTCAAACTTGAATCCTCGATTGTAACACTTTCTAGGTCATTTGTGGAGCGATTTCGGACTGGAGCACCTTCGACACCTACGCAAAGAGGGTTAGAAGCATCACGATTGACCCATCACTAGTTGTCTCCAAAACGTTCAACGAACTTCAGCACAATCGTTCTACCCCATTGTTACCAGCCCTCAAGCACATCATAATACTAAAGACAGCTAACTCCTGGCTTGGGGGCCCCGTCCTACCACTGGTACAACCGACGCTAGAATCATTACAGATTGATGATGTATATAAAGACAACATCCTCATTCCCTTCCTTTGGAGCGTGCACCAGAAAGCACCATCGATCAAGCAGCTATCTCTTGCATCGATAGCCAAATTCCCAGTAGCGCTTCAGTTTCAACAACTGAAATCGCTATGTATCACTCAGCCAGCGACCCTCGTGCAAATTTGGACGCTCGCTGGTCTTAATATAGAGAGCCTTTCGATCATATTGGAAGGTGCAAAACCACCACAGAAGTCATTGGCACCGGGTTTCAAGGAATTGACATCGTTAACGTTGTCGGGGAGACATTCCCTCATCACCGAATTTCTTTTTCACATTCTCAGCAGAACTTATATTCGAACTATACGGTTTGTAGATAGAAAAGTTCCGCAGGGTACTCATCGGAAGCAGGAATGGAGAACGATATTCGACCATCTCTTTATCCGAGACCGTCTCCTTACCCCAGACCGTCTCTTTATCCAAGACCATCCCCTTATCCCAAACCGTCTCTTTATGGAGATCAAAATATCAGAATTTGCAAGCTACTTAAAGATAAGCTCCCTGACCCTCGACTCGAAACAGGATGGGGCCTCTTGGCCGGAGGAAATTCACTCACTGCAATTAACGTACCTTTCAGCTAGGGGATGGAATAATATTCCCAATAAATATCTGGCAGCACTTGCAACGCGACATCTGCAGGTGCTTTATCTGTCGATAACACTGTCCCTTCCATTGCTTCGACATTTTGCCATCCATTGTCCAAATCTCATACGTTTAGAGGCTGGAGACCTTTCAGACTTACAATACCGTGTTGGATCAGCCTTTTTTCCAACGGTTTTTTTTGAAACAGACTTTACTCAAACGGGGTTCAGCAAACCAGATCCTGAGATCGTGCTATCTCACGGCCTTCAGAGACTTACTGTCTCCCCGGCGAATGCGAGAAGCGCTGAGGATCGCGTGAAATTCGATCTTCTGGAGGCCCTCGACCGCATATTTCCCCAGGTTGTACTCGTTTCCACCGATCCCGTTTGGAAAGAGGCTGGGATTTTGCTCACGTTTTTCCAGAAGGCCAGGGGGGCAGAACGGATTCGAGTCAGTCGTCATCGGGCATAAGTTGTGAACAGGCAACCGTATATACCAAGGCTACATTAGCACTCTTCCATTCGTGCTTGGATGGACTTGATATGGGACTACGTGTATACCGACGAGATCGATCCGTGGTCTATTGACGCGTATGAGAATACATGGACCTAGTTAATGAATAGCAGTTACATTATCCCTTCAGATGCCATAGAGTGCGCAAAACACATGTAAGGTCCGACTCCCAGGTTCATGGTCATCCTCTTTCGTTGAAACGTAGGTAGGCACGCGCCAACCGGACACCGTGCAAAACGCACGAAGAAGGACCTCTGCATGCGTGAAAGGGATAGCAAAAAGTATTCAGCCACGGGAATTCCAATACCGAAGTCAAGATCCTGTCTGATTGTCGTTAGTCCAACTGTCAACTTTGAGGGGGAAAGCAGCCATACGATACTTGTCAGAAAAAGATTCAAAACACCATCTGGCTCCTCCGGTAAGTCTAAAACAAAATTTGAAGTGGCCGTATGGAATTTATGCACCAAACAGGTCTTCCTCCTTGCGTACTGTCCTTTTGGGAGCAAAAAGCTGACGAGAGTGGGATTCGAACCCACGCCTCGAAAGACCAGATTGGAATAGGCAGCTGCTGCCCTGGTCCTTAGTCTGGCGCCTTAGACCGCTCGGCCATCTCGCCATGTGCTCTAGCGCCAGCGGACTGCGGTCATTGAGAATGGGCCGTCTGCAGCGGTTCCCCAGGCGTTCCGGGGAGAATCCGCGGCGAAATTGATGAATGTATGGGAGTGAACTTGTCTCGGGACACGCCAGTGATTGAAACAAGCGGCGCAACAAGTTCGTTCGGTGTCAGCGCGTCAACGTTGAGATGCGTCACGCTGGCCTGCTGACAGTACACGGATGGTTGATCAGATTGAACAACAGCCGCGAAAGTGATGATCAAACTGTCACATTGCGGTGTGAAGATCGCAAAGGATGGAGATGGTGAAACTGTTTGGGCTCACCGAGGCCAGAGTTGTATGAGCTGCGTTCAGCTCCGTTGTCTACGAGCTGACTTACATAGCAAGGTCCGAGGATCCCGCCCGACCTTTGACACGGTGAACTATAGAAAATTTCTGGAAATGAAATTTATTGATGAGAACGGTTTTGTTTCGGCTATCTAAATTTTGTTCTGCCAATAGCATTGTTTTTCGTCTGGTTGTTGGAAAGAAAAGAAGGCAAAGATTGACTGTTACAGGTGCTGTTTTATATGGTGGCAACCACGAGAAAACGAGGTAGGACTTGAGAGAGTGAATTGAATGTGGATGTGATTGAAAGCATCCGGGGCGGCGGGCGGTGCTGACATGATGTGCTTAGTCAGGTTGTCACTTGTTTTTTCTGTGGCAACCAAAGTTTTGATTGAAGCCTTAGCTTGACGTCGCCTTTCCCGCTCGCCGCTATCGCCCACACTTCCCTTCCTTCTCTCTTATTTTAGTCTCGTTTAAAAGTCTAGTCACTATGGGTTGCGTCCAGTCCACCGGTATCGACGATGAGGCCAAGGCCCGTGAGTGCCCCCTTTTAGTATGCACCATTTGGCAGGCCCCTTGACAACAAACGAATGCAGGCAATGACGAGATTGAGAGCCAGCTGAAGAGGGACCGTATGATGGCGAAGAACGAGATCAAGATGCTTCTGCTCGGTGCTGGCGAGTCGGGCAAGGTGTGTCGACTTGAGTTGAACAGCGGCTACTAGGTGCTGACAGAAATCCAGTCGACGGTGCTGAAACAAATGAAACTGATTCACCACGGCGGATACAACGATTCTGAGCGTGACTCGTATAAAGAAATCATTTTCTCTAATACTATCCAGTCAATGCGGTTGGTTGATTTATTAGTGTCTGTAATAACAAATCATCTGACATTTCCTAGTGCCATCCTTGAAGCACTCCCTCAGCTCGATATCGCCCTTAACCCCTCTAACGACGCCCGCCGCTCAACAATCCTCGCTCTCCCCCCGCAAATAGAGGCTGACATTCTCCCCGCAGACGTCGCAGACGCTATCAAGGTTCTCTGGAAAGACGCTGCAATCAAGGAGGCCGTCTCTCGTTCTCGCGAGTTCCAGCTCAATGACAGTGCTGTCTACTACTTCAACGCCATCGAGCGCATGTCGTCCCCTCAGTACATTCCCACAGATCAGGACATCCTCCGCTCTCGTGTCAAGACCACTGGTATCACCGAGACCACATTCAAAGTTGGCGAACTCACCTACAAGCTCTTTGATGTCGGAGGTCAGAGGAGTGAGCGTAAGAAGTGGATCCATTGTTTCGAGAATGTCACCGCCCTTGTCTTCTTGGTCAGCTTGAGCGAGTACGACCAGATGTTGTACGAAGATGAGAGTGTCGTGAGTACTCTAACCTTTTTCACTTGTCCGCGGAGCTAAGTACACTATTTCCCCCCTAGAACCGTATGCAAGAAGCACTCACACTCTTCGACTCGATATGCAACTCGAGATGGTTTGTCAAGACCTCCATCGTACGTACCTCCGCGTCTTTTTCCAGCCTTGACTAATATCCCTGTAGATCCTTTTCCTCAACAAAATCGATCTGTTCGCAGAGAAGCTCCCTCGCTCGCCGCTTGGGGACTATTTCCCCGATTACACCGGTGGCAGCAACTATGATGCTGCCTGCGAATATCTCTTGCATCGGTACGCTTTGCCTCTCTCGCCCCTTTAACGATCGCTGACCCAGCCTCTACAGGTTCGTCTCCCTCAACCAGAGCGCTGCGACGAAGCAGATCTACGCACATTATACGTGCGCGACGGACACGCAGCAGATTAAGTGTATGTTCCCATCTCCCTTGGCCAGAATTCATAATACCTACTGACGCCCTTCCAGTTGTGCTCAGCGCAATCCAGGATATCCTTCTCCAGCTCCACCTGAGAGAGTGCGGCTTGCTATAGTCGACTCGTCTCACCTCATTGGATCGCTCCTCCCATCGCGCTCATGCCATTGCCACTGTGCTCTCATGTCCCGCCCATGCTGACGTCTCCCTTGCTTCACCCTCCCTCCCCGTACACCATCCACCAGCCGCCGAGGAAATGGTTGCGAAACTTTTTTTTTGACCGATCATGGGTCCCCCTCGTCCGCTCCTTTCCTTCTTTCCTCTAAATATTCTTTACGATTTATGGTTCCTTGTCTACATCGGATTTTCCTCGTTCTCGTTCATTTTTTGCTTTTTATTTCCTTTGTTGTTTCTTTCTTTGAACATCATCTTAACGCACACGGCACACATACCAACCAATGAACCAACCAACCTCCTGGCTGCCCTTGACGCTACTTTGGGTCTCCTGGGCTCCCTCGTGTTCCCTTTCCCTTGCATTCATATGTCAGCGGTACCGATTCCAATGGTTCCCTCGTTTCTCGCATTATCTTGTGTTTCGAGTCTACATACCTATATCCAATTCGATGTAACGATTAATTAATTCAACAGAGGGGATCTTTTTGACGGTCATGTCTGCGTTGTGTTTCAGTCAGTTGTTGACGCAGAAGTTTGTTGCACAGCCACTGGGAACGTGAGGACTAAAAAAGTGTGGCTTTTCTCAACTCCAGACGTAACTCAATGTTATATTCTTGCGTTGCTACGTATACTACTGCGAAAAGTCTTTTCGAATTCCCTACGCAGTCGTGTCAGGCTATCTGGTGAGTAGTAGATCAGTGGAACAATAATCGTAATCTGAGGGGACTTTAGACATACGACGACCCAAGTCACCCCGACTGTGATTAGGCTGCCAAAGTCAAGAAATCGCCCACTACTTGCATATACCTCTCACGTTCCTCGAAGAAGGGCACATGCGCGCTGTTCGCAAACTGAACCCACCTAACTCGAGGGATGTTGTTGAAGAACGGGAGCATGCAGACGTCCTGGGCTTCGTCATAGACGGAGTTGATCATCAACGTTGGGGTTTCGATAGTGTGCAATGCGTCGACGATGCTCCACGTCTTCAACGTACCCGTGATCGTGAACTCTGAGGGTCCCTGCCTGTCGGGAAAGTAGGTCAGTTCATCAAAAAATCACAGTATAGGAACCTATCGCTAACATGGTATGATACACAGTTGGGTCCGCCGCCATGGCGGCGAAAGACGCGTTCAAGTCGTCGGGCCACGTCTCCAACCTGCAGACATGCTTCTGATAAAAGACGTGCATCGCCGCCTCGTACTCCGGATCCTCCGTCGTACCAGCCTCCTCGTGCTTCTTGATCACGTCCTGCACATCCTGCGGAAGCTGCGCGACGAGGCCCGCCGTGCTTTCCATCCAGAGCGCCATGGACGCCGGCGTGTCCGTGACGATGAGGTGTTTCAGGCCTTTGGGCTGCCTTGCCGCAACGAAGTTCGCCGCCAGCATGCCGCCCCAGGAGTGCCCGACGAGGTCGTAGTCCCCGCTGATGCCGAAATGGCCGAGGAGGTTCTCGAGCTCGTCCATGAAGAGCTCGAGGGTCCAGAACTCTTTTGGTGCATCCTTGCGATGAGAAGACTCGCCGATGCCGATCTGGTCATAGAGGATGACGGGGATGCCATGGGACGCGACGAGGTCGGTGTGCGGGGTCATGTACGAGTGGGATACGCCGGGGCCGCCATGAAGAGCGACTAGAGGACGTACGCCAGCCTTAGTGGTGTGGAGATCACCAACGAGCTTGTACCATGTCTGGTACGTAGCACCCTGATATTTGAAATCGATTTTCCCGGTGACAGACATGATAGTGTCTCTTATTACATTGCTGGCAGATATATATTCATGCAAGATGGCTAGGCACTTGTCACCGTGTCACTGTGACGGCCTCTAGCCAGGCAGCGAAGCACGATGATGCGAAGAAGCCGTATGGAAAAATATAACCCCACGCCCAAGTGTATACACAGCATATGGACGCTGGTAAGATGCCACCCACACTCGATTGCTTTCCATTCGTTGCGCCCCATCTATTACGGTAAGATTGTTTATCTCCCAACTTTATCGAGCGCGGAGATCTAACAATCAAAGAATAGGCGATAGGCGTGTGGTAACCTTTCTCACCCGATCGAGACATCCAGCCAACCTCCGGCGTGGAGCGGAGCGGAGTATGTTTCCAGACTGACTGTCTTCTGAGTCTTCTGATCTGTCTTGTCCGTGTTCATGTCACCAACTATCTATCATTGTTCTCCCACATGTAAATGTGCACATGTGATCCGACGACATGGGATACTCGGGTCATCAGTTATCATCGCGGCGCAATATGTACAATTAATGTTTTGTTCATCGTGGTGGAACGAATCTCATCGAAACTTCAGCGACTGTGGAGGAGAATGTCTAAACTGCGAAAGGGCTTTGCCGTCTTCCTCGCTATGGCGAACGTGGCGAGCCTTTTTCTCATTTTCCTGCGTACTTATGGTAGATCGAGAGAACAATCTCCCTCCTACTGTGAGACGAACATACTTATCAGTTGACTTTTCTACTACTAATAAACTGAACGCATAGCATGGCATGGTCACGATTTTCCCGAATTCCTCCCCTTACACGTCTCTGAACCTGAGCCCGTTCATCTGCGTGTGGAGGAGAGCAGACATTATGGGTCACTTGCGAACGATTCCGATGCGATGTGGTTTTCACTCACATCAGCGGGCTGGGGATACGTACATCTTGGACCGGAGGACCGAGCCTTCATGGTCACGGT